CCCGTGCCGCCCCCGCCCCCCCTCCCCCGTCCTGGGCCCACTCCCTTCCGGGACAGCGGCCCCCTCCGCTCACCCCCATAGCACCGACACCCCGCGCCTGCCTTGGGGCCCCTGCTCCCACTGCCCTCCCTGCTGTCTACTCCTCCTAAGAGAGGCCTCGCTGCCCCCTCCAAACCCACTCCCTCCACAGCTCTCCCCAGCGCCCGAGGCCCCCCCCTCGCAGAATTGTGTCTTCCCTACTCCCTGCCACTGGGCTTCCAGAACCTTCCCTGTGCCTCATCAGCCTCCTCGCTGCCCTGCAGGGACCCCCAGCAGGACAGACCTTTCCCCTGGGGCAGGCTTGCCACCCCCACCCTCTGTGACTTGCTGGGGACAGCAGGGCCATCGCCCCGCCCTCCAGGCAGAGATTCTTTGCAATTCTTTTAAAAGAACTGCCAGAAGTCGCTCAAGTGCGCTCTTCATCAGAGACACTGCACTGTTCACTTTGCGGAGCTGACGAGCCCTTCCTGACAGTCCACGGTCTGCCCCCAGCCGTGTGTCCCCCGGGCCCTGAGCCCACGCTGGGCGGGCTCCTGGCTTGGCCGCTCCCAAGCTTCGGTCACCCGCACCTCAGGTCCAAGGGTGCGGGAGGAGGGTGGGGCCCCCTTTCTGTTCCTAACGTTGCAAATTTGGATTTCATTTCCCAGGTTTCCTTATCAACAGCAGGAAAGTCAATTTCAGAAAGTAAAATTCTAGCAGCAGCAAGTTCACATTTGTTGTTGCCTAAAAAAGAGAAGGAGAAGAGCAAAGACAAAGACAAGGAGAAGGACAAGGACAGGGGCAGAGACCCGAAGCAGAGACCCGGGCGGGCGCGGGGCCCAGGCAGCCCTGAAGGCTCCCAGCCCCGGCACCCGGCACCCTCTCCCGTAACGTGGGGGCCGCGGTCTCCCCCCACCCCCAGCCCGAGAACGTTAGGCTTCTCCCTGGCGGCCACTTGTGTTGCGGGGGCGATCCCCTCCACCCGGGCACGTCTGGGTCCTGGCTGTGCGGGGCAGGACAGGCGCCCGAGCTGCACGTCCCCCCGTCACCCTGTCCACGGGCTGTGCTCGCGGCAGCCCACCCGACGC